AAGTTGATCTTGCATCTTTGACCTGCCATTATGGGGATATGTTTTTGCTCTATCTGTGGTGTTACAGATGGAAGCTTGTCTTCCATGTAAATGTTTTGTGTTTACAGTAGTCATTCTTGCATTTGCATGTGTTAACAGATCCAACCGCAAGTTATAATTATTCACGGAGACCATATTTCTTATTCCAGAGCTCTTGCCAAGGGTTGATATAGTTGAAACACAGATGTATACACTCTCAAAAAGTTCAACTCCCCCCCCCTCCGCTGCCCCCAAAATGCATGTGCAGGATATATGGGGACATTTTCCCTACCTTTTGGGGACCTATGAGCCTTTATAGGCTCAGGAGATGCCTGTTTTATCAACAGGAATTATTCTTGTTCACTTCCTGTTTTTTAAAAAATATATATATTGGGACTAAAATGGCATAGCATGGTGACAATATCCTCAAGGACTCAGAGGACATTTTGGGGTAATTAGTTATTTGGGGAAATGTTCTGTGGGGCAACAAAAATGACCCTGGGCCCATATCTAGCATGAACCGCCCTTTTGTTATCCATTATACCCCATTTTAGAGATCCAGGATAGTGGGATGTTGGGAAGATGCTAATACACTTTTTTCTCTGTGATTATTGTACATTCTGTGGAGATAAAAATCATCCTTAAATTCTGGCTAGAGCAAGCTCCCTATTTGAGCTGGAAATACAAGTAACTTAATGAGCCAATTCAAGCAAGCAGAAATGAAGAAAATGCTTGGTTATTCTTGGACTGTGTTATTTTAGTCTCCAGATGGTATAGATCATATGCTTGCACGCTCCCCTGAATTAAAAACAAAATGCAGGCATGTGAGACATTAGTGTCCCAGTTTGTCAGGCCTTTTCTCTAATGTATAGGGATCATTTAATGTCTTCAGTTTTTTTCTCAGACAGCTACACCACCTAAATTATGTATTTCAGGAAAGGCTGCGCCATATATTGTCTCTGCTCATTTGAAATTCTCTTAAAATTTATTTTAATGCTTTTGAGAGTCTGCTACAAAGAGTGTGTTGAATGTAATATTGTGAATGAGCAGCCTGAAAGCCTCCATTTTTACAGACCCCAACTTGTCTCTATGCAGTCACCCTTCAGGCCAGAGATTAACAGTTTCAGAAGCTTTAAGGATAGGGAAAAATGACCAAACATTTATTGAATCAAGAGTTATTTATTTTAGGCTTACAGAAAGGCAAAAACGGTCAAAATAGTTCCAGCCTACCTTGTATAGGAGGGACCCTGGCAGACAGTATTTGTTTGTTTGATTGTTTATGAAATTTATACCCCGCCTTTCCCCAGTCAATGGCCCAAGGTGGCTTACACCCAGTAAAAGCATATAATATAATAATTAAAAACAAGTTAAAAACATAAATATTAGCAAATTAAAACCCCAATAAAATGCATTAAAAACACCCTGATAATATGTCTGAACAATGGTTTTATCTTTATCTCTACCAGCTACCATCATTACCCATGACCCTTCTGATTTGTGACATGGCTTTGCTTCATAACATCATTTCCTGCTCTCTAAACACGGGCATTTCAGGCAAAAAACAGCTATCAATCATGCACTGGCAACTATTTGAGCCAGCCAGTCATAAAGTAAGGAGAAGGAGGGCAGAAGTTATCTGCATAAGTTAGCAATTTCTGCACAATGGTGTTTTGGGGAAAAAAACCCACAGAGTTCAATTTCTGTACCACAATGCTGCTGTGGAATTTGCCCAAAAGCCTAATCTATTATCACCCTTGTATTTACTTTTAAACAAGCTGCATGTCTTTCTTATTGGCTATGATATTGACTGTCACACTGACTATAGTGTGCTCAGTTTGCCCTCACGCCATGATTATAGTGTATGTTGCAGTCAGACATCCAATTTAAGGGAAGACATGATACAAACTAATACAAAAATTGGGGGGGGGGGGCACAAAAACGGCCACACTTCAATCACAAAGAAAGCAAAACCCTTTCTGGTTGATGCCTACATAGTACCAGCACTACTTAGCTTAGTTTGGCTATATCAAGTAGAATACATTGCTTCTGGAAGAAAAGCATGTGCCAGTGCTCTTCGTCATTCTGGCTTTTTTAAATTAGTTTTGCTGTTGAAATAATTTGTTGATCATTTTTATTTTAGCAATCTGATAAAACAGGGGTAGGAACTATGCATCCCCCAAATGTTGGAGTACATTTCTCATGTTAGCAACAACATGCAACAAAAGCTTCAGCAGTACTTCATAAAAAAGGGAAGCCAGCCTACCTTGTTTAGCAACGCCTGCAAATGCTGATTTTACTTGATGGCTATCTTTTCAGATTTGGTTTGATTGGTATACCTGTTTTATATACTCAGGGTCACATCAAAATGTATTGACCGGAAAGGGGTCACGACTGAAATAAGTTTAAGAAGCCCTAATCTAAACAATTTGTAGTGGAATTGACTACATTTGGAAGATATGTAGTGAATGTTATGGTAAAAAATCTAAAAATTCCATAGGTTCAGCTTTTTACTGTCAAACGAAATGCAAGGGGAAAACTAGGTACCTATCAATTTTTGTGTGTCATGCAGCAGTTGAGGGAACCCAAATTCTGTTGTGGTCAAAGCGGTGGCATCTTCCAGTGATCTGTTCACCCGGTTTACAGGAGCAACATCTTGTATCTGGGCCTTCATCTGCACTTCACTTGCTTTAATTTGTATATTGCAACATGGATGTCTCACACAGAGATGTTTCTTACACAATCCCCAGTACACACACTTGAAATTGTTCTCATACTATTGAGACTTTGTGATAGCGACTACCAAATATACAGGCAACATTTTAAAGTAAGGCATGGAAGAGCATGCATCTTATATCAGAGGAAGTATATGTCCACAAAAGCTTAATTCACTTTTGAAGCAAGGCCACATTTCTCTTGTGCCTTGTTTGAAGTGCCATGTTTGATACTGAAGTGCCCAAATATTCACATTTCCACCATTACCATTTGATGCACAGCAGTGGAGCATATGTGGCCCATGACAGCTTCCAGATAAATACAGTACCTTGGTTGGGTCTCTTTTAATACTCCCTCCATTCAAAAATATAACAGCTCCATAGGAAGCTGTTGTCTTGCTTGCTTTATACCTCATCTGCATTATTTTCCTCACATAATATGCCTATGAGTATATACCTTTTTTTAAACCTATCAAATACGTAAGACCCTGGCTTGCATATAGTTTGGTTTTGTGTGTTCTTTCAGTACTTGTACTGTTATTGAAGAAATGACATATAAATGTGTTGGTCAAGTATTCTTCAACAAGCTTCTTCCTTTGGTTAAAACAGCTGCTCTTAGATTTACAGGTCTTTGTGAAGAACAGATTGTTGTGTCTCATTTATTCTCTTCTTCCCTCTCCAGCCCTAACCATTGCAGAGTCCTCTTCCCTCGTCTCATCACCTTTGGCCATGACTCAATATGGAACCCCATACTAATACAACAGTGGGTTATGCTAGTCATGGTCCCTCACAATTGGAGTAGATTTATTTCCAGTTCTGGATTTATGTTCTGATTACATCACATAAGCAATTAAAAAAACCCAGTTTTCTAGATAAGTAACTACTCCTCTGTTTTGCCTACCAGATATCTGTTGATTTAAAAGTGGATATAAACTTGTGGCATTTTCCTTAGTTCTATTAAAGTGTTGTTCAGTTCTCGATTTGGGATTGCTTTCAAAAAACGTTGCGTGATGCTGTCCCATTAATCTTGTTAATTCACAAGCTATGCAGAATGAGCCATGTAGTCGAGGCCCATGAACTGAAGAATCATTTAACATCAGAGCCCAGTTTTTTTTCTTTATAATTCAGCAGGAGAAACAGGTTTCTTTTATGCTTTTATGTGTCTCTCTTTGAACACTGAATTAGAACTCGTGAGGATATAATATGCATATTCGTTATTGTTATTACTTCATTATAGATGTGGATGTATTTCTGAGTTTCGGTTGGGTTGTCTATTTGTTTTTGTTTAGTTAATTATGGGCATTGAATGTCTGCTGGTTTTTGTTGGAAACTGCCGAGTCCCCTTGGGGAGATAGGGCAGGATATAAATAAATAAATAAATAAATAAATAAAGGATGATGACGATGATGGTGGTGATGACGATGATGATGATGATGATGATTATTATTATTATTATTATTATATCCAGCTTTTATCTTTTGAATATGAGTCATAATTAGCAAGTACAGGGTGTTTGAAAAAAGATGGACCTGATTTAAAATCACTATATCTGCAACCATGAACCACCCATGAATTAAACTCTTACCCCTTGAGAAGGTGGGGCATGGAATTTGAAATTATTACTGCTAGACTAGACTAGATGCCTCTCCCAGCATACAAACAGTCCTTAGCTTCAGTCATTTGCAAGATCACTTAAGGCCTAATGAGATATTCTCCATTTGCTATTTTTTAGATTTGTGTGTGGCTCAAAATGGTTAGCAAAACTTGATAACTTGATAATGCATTAAACCATTTGTAATCCAAAATATTTGATGATAGGGCTAATGGAAATACACAAGAGAAATATGTGAAAATTGGGTTTATTTGTTCAGCCTTTAAGTTTTGTCTGTATACAGAAGTTTAAATTACACTGAAAAAGTAAGTACCAAGCCATAATACAAAACTCCAGGTTCAGAGACTGTAAGAATTGTGCATGAAGTACATTTACATTGTGGAGCTCACCATTTCTTTCATTTAAGTAATTAACTAAAGAGCATGTTAGAAACATTAGTTGACAACATACCAGTAAATAAGATGATTGTACCAATATCCTAATATTGCTATCCTTAAAAGTTATCCAGAGGTTTTGTAAATCAACAAATAGCATATTTTATTTTATTTATTTGTTTAACTTTTTTTTCTGAGTTAGGGACCTAAAACTCCATGAAGGAGAGGCATTAGGCTCTTCTATTCATTCTAACCGATCTACAAACAGCTCAATTTAACTTGCAGGTGATACGAAGAAGCAGTGAGGAGGAGAAGCTGCTGTGCTTGGTTCGTCAGCGTGCAGGACACCACTGCCAAACGGCTGTCATCGTGATACTCATTTTGGCTTGGGAAGGGATTCCACACCTTCTGGCGGACACTCTCTATAAGGAACTGACCCAGAGTCTCCGAAAATATGGCTGTCCAACCAGCCGTAGGTGTGCATTAAATGAAGAGTAAGTGCACTGTAATGTAATAGTGATTGCCCCATCTAATTACCACTTTGACTTTAATTAGCCTTTTAGATTTCAGGTTATAGTCATAATACATAAACCTGAAGTAACATAATGTGACATTATGTTCCTGATACTCAGTAGGTTATAGACATTGAATTGCTGTTCTAAGTGGCGTGTGTAGGAGGACCAAAATGAGCTTCTTGCTGTTTCAGTTTCTATCCTTTGCCATAACAAAATTACCTGAAAGCAAGATTTTTTTGTTCTCATTGTTGTTTAAGAGCATGCTTTTTACTTGGACCACAGTTGGTTATGCTATATGCTGTGTTGTTAAGAGGTCATAACAAAGCTACTTAAACTTCCTAATCAAGATGTAGAGAATCTTTATCTAGCTAGTTTCAAAATGCTTCCCCCCCCCCCCCCCATGCCATAGAGTGGCTTACATATGTGCATATATTTACTGAGGTTCAGGCAACATAAAGAGAAAATATAGTATATTATCTTATATTTAATGAATTGAATGAAAATTAAATGAATCTGACTTCGGCCTGTGGATATATCCATGGTGAAGTTAAAATATTTGTCATGACTTGTAAGTGAGATGGCTCTGACCTTTGTAATTCCGGGATTTAGTGAGATGTTTTAAATTCTCTAATCCACTTCTCGAACTACAACACTACAGCTGACTAGCAGAGGATTGTAAGCATCTAATGAAACTACAAATCCTAGCATTCCATAGGAGGAAGTTGTGACAACTATAGTTTATCATAACACCATTATTGTGTGATGTGGATATATATTGTTTATAACCAGAATAGGTGTATAGCAATTTTAGAACACATTTGTGAAGCAAAGACATTGTTTAATTCTTCTCCCAGTTTACTATGCCAGACATTATGTAGAGTTTGACATCAGGCTTTAATCACAGATTTGTTTTTCAACCAGCTGATCTGAATGCTCCGATAAGGAACTTTTTATTTATTTATTTACGTCATTTCTACCCCACCTTTCTCACCTGAATTAACACTGTATTATCTACATAATTTTTTAAGGATGATTCTAGAAGTGGCTTCCTTATAACAAAATTAAGATTTTATATCTGGGAAGTAATATAAATAACCTGCTTGATTTAGTTTTCCCCCTATGAGCCATAGCTCACAGTCACTTCAAGTCCTTGATTTCAAGGGCTGTTCATCAATGGAACAAGCTCCCTCAGAAGATGGTGAATTTCCCTTCACGGAAAGAGATTATATGACTCTCTGTAAATAATGCTTACAGCGATGGGAAGGTTACAGCGGGAAGGTAACAGTGCTCCATGCAGTCATGCCAGCCACATGACCTTGGGGGTGTCTATGGACAACACCGACTCTTTGGCTTAGAAATGGAAATGAGCACCACCACCCCAGAGTCGGACACAACTGGACTTAATGTCGGGAAAACCTTTACCTTACCTTAAATAATGCTTCAGCTATGGATATCTGCACTTTCAAGAGACTGGATAGATGACCTTTGAGTCCCTTCCAGTGCTATGATTGGGTGATCAAATGTGACATTTGACTATAGCCTTTGAAACATATACTTAATGAAGATATGATCATGCTGGAGAAAGAGGGGTCAGTTTCTCCTTCGCAGAGTAAATAGTTATGATATTATCCTATCTATTGAGAACAAAGAATAGACCAAAACTGGCTGCTGCTTGTATTAATAAATGTGGAAATAATTTGTTAAAACACCTATAAGTTGCTTGTTATTAAAATTGTTATCTTCATATTTGCCAACATTGTTTGTGGTCTTGCAACTTAAATTTATTGCTCAACATTTAAAATGTTTTGAATGGTGTGTGTGTGTATATATATATAAATGTAACGTGTTGTAACTCAGCGTGTGCCTCATGTATCTACTAGTGCTAGTAGGAGGAAACGAGGCTGGGTCTTGACATAACAACTTAGTGAGGGAATGAATGAGTCACTTTGTGAAACTATTTAGGCAATGATTTAACGTTAATTAATAATGTATTTTCAAAATTTGACATAAAGTTGTATTTTCATGTTAACTTCAATGCAATTTTATCTTTTCTCTTCACATCCAGTTGTGATGCCACTGATATATTATCTGATAGTACTTTATATACTGGATTTCTCCAACTCCATCATGTAGGGAAGTGGTTCTCAACCTGTGGGGGTCCCCAGGTGTTTTGGCCTACAACTCTCGAAATCCCAGCCAGTTTACCAACTGTTAGGATCTCTAGGAGTTGAAGGCCAAAACATCTGGCGACCCACATTTTGAGAACTACTGATGTAGAGAGAAGGGTCATGTCTCATTTTTAAAAACGGATCTGCAGAAAGGTCCTGAACTCTCTTGAGCCCATATGGAAGAGTTTTATTATGTCTTACATTTATATTTATCTGGACTTCATCAAAAACACCTGGTAAATTGTATTGTGCAAATTGTCTTTGTGCAAGGCATGCATTCTGTAGAATCTTAGCTAAATATAATGTCTTTAAATTTATTTCCCACAGCCGCACCTGTGCCTGTCAAGGCCTTGATCCAGAAACATGTGGAGCATCATTCTCATTTGGCTGTTCATGGAGCATGTATTACAATGGCTGTAAGTTTGCCAGAAGCAAAATCCCAAGGAAATTTAGACTTCTCACAGATGATCATAAGCAAGTAAGTGTCCCACCTCTGCATATTATTAATAATAAAGACTTAAGTGCAGATAATGTATTCTTTGAACCATTACTTTAGTGTACTTTCAGCAGAGCTTGAAAGTGATATTTGTTGGACTGCCACTCCCACTGTTCCCCATGCTAGCTTTGAAATTTGAGGCACTGTGGTCACAAAAGTATTTTTCCTTGTGTTGTTCTCAAGCCATGACAACATGGTTTATATCTCCTAATTGTATACCACTGTGTGAGAATGGTCTTCATAATAAAAACTATTTTATTGGGCTTTTTGTCATATTATTTATCTTTTAGCAATCAGATGACTTACTACATATTTATCGTGTCATCTGCAACCAGAACATTGTATTACATTTCTAACAGAACAAAACAAACAAACAGATAAAGAAAAAAAAACACAATTTTGCAAACTTGGTAGCTGATTAAATGTCCTTTGACCAGTATCTGGCCACTTGGAGTGCCTCTGGTGTTGCCGCAAGAAGGTCCTCCATCGTGCATGTGGCAGGGCTCAGGTTGCATTGCAGCAGGTGGTCAGTGGTTTGCTCTTCTCCACACTCGCATGTCGTGGATTCAACTTTGTAGCCCCATTTCTTAAGATTGGCTCTGCATCTCGTGGTGCCAGAGCGCAGTCTGTTCAGCGCCTTCCAAGTCGCCCAGTCTTCTGTGTGCCCAGGGGGGAGTCTCTCATCTGGTATCACCCACGGATTGAGGTGCTGGGTTTGAGTCTGCCACTTTTGAACTCTCGCTTGCTGAGGTGTTCCAGCGAGTGTCTCTGTAGATCTAAGAAAACTATTTCTTGATTTAAGTCATTGACGTGCTGGCTAATACCCAAACAAGGGATGAGCTGGAGATGTCTCTGCCTTGGTCCTTTCACTATTGGCTGCAACTTCCCGGCCGATGTCAGGTGGTGCAATACCGGCTAAGCAGTGTAATTTCTCCAGTGGTGTAGGGCGCAGACACCCTGTGATAATGCGGCATGTCTCATTAAGAGCCACATCCACTGTTTTAGTGTGGTGAGATGTGTTCCACAATGGGCATGCGTACTCAGCAGCAGAGTAGCATAGCGCAAGGGCAGATGTCTTCACTGTGTCTGGTTGTGATCCCCAGGTTGTGCCAGTCAGCTTTCGTATGATATTGTTTCTAGCACCCACTTTTTGTGATGTTCAGGCAGTGCTTCTTGTAGGTCAGAGCACGGTCCAGAGTGACTCCCAGGTATTTGGGTGCGCTGCAATGCTCCAGTGGGATTCCTTCCCAGGTAATCCTCAGAGCTCGGGATGCTTGTCTGTTCTTAAGGTGAAAGGCACATGTCTGTGTTTTAGATGGATTAGGGATCAGTTGGTTTTCCCTGTAATAGGCAGTTAGAGCATCTAGAGCTTCGGAGAGCTTCTTTTCAACCATCTCAAAGCTCCCTGCTTGAGCAGTAATGGCACGATAGATGAAACTCTCTGTCCCTTCTGGCAGTGGCTGGTCATTTGTGTAGATGTTGAACATGGATGGAGCGAGCACGCTCCCCTGAGGCAGGCCATTCTTCTGTTTCTGCCATCTGCTTCTCTGGCCTTGGAACTCAACAAAAAAGCTCCTGTTTTGTAGCAGGTTTCCTATGAGACGGGTGAGATGGTAGTCCTTTGTGATATTATACATTTTTCTCAGGAGGAGACGGTGGTTCACAGTATCATAAGCCGCTGACAGGTCTATGAAGACAGCTCTTGTGATCTGCTGCTTTTCAAAGCCATCTTCTATGTGCTGAGTCAGGTTCAGCACTTGCGATGTCAGCTTTTGCCTTTCTTGAAGCCAGCTTGCTGTGGAATCAGACATCGGTCTATTTTTTCCATAATTCTATGCAGAATAAGTCTCTCCAGAAATTTGTAGAGGTGGCACAGCAGGGAGATTGGTCTGTAGCTTTTGGATCATTATGGTCTTTGCCTGGCTTCAAGATGGCAATGACTCTTGCTTTCCTCCAGATTTTGAGGATCTGACAGGATGCAGTGCAATTGTTCATCAGCTCCAGTAGCCAGCACTTTGCTTTTGGGCCAAAGTTCTTGATTTGTTCCATCCGTAGATCATCCAAGCCAGCTGCTTTGCCATTCTTACATTTATTGAGAGCCATGTCCAATTCAGTAGATGTAAAGGGTTCATGAAGGTTGTTGTTCTCAATCTCTTGTTGTCTGGCTATTGGTTTCTTTCCTACTTTGGTGACAAGGTTGGGTTTCCCGTTCTTCAAGAGTTGGTGTGCTATCTGATCTGCCTTTATGTTGGCATGAGTATTACTTTGTGAGGGGTCATTGCTCAACCGTCTTAGCAATCTCCACGCGATCCAGAAGCAACCAGAGATGACTTACTGTCAAAAATAAATATTTTATGCCTCCAATAACCCATAGCCTGTCAGCATAGTTTACATACATGAGTGAACTGTATTTCCTCCTTTAAGATGGAACTTCAGCTTCAAGATGTCAGTTGAAAATATGTTCAACCAACTGTAAATTGGGAACACCTCACAGATTGTATATCATACTTGCTAGACTGTATCCTTCCAATTTATGCGCTAAAACAAGGAATGCATCTAACAACTTGTAATTCACAGGCAAAGAAAACCAATCTCTCCATAAGCTGTGTTTTGTCATTGTTTTTATTAGGTACATTTTTATTTTAGCTGAATATTGAATATTGATCATTTTGCAGATGACAGAAAGCTAGGATGTGTAGCAATGCAAATGCAGATGAAGATAGATTCAAAATAAAGACAGATATGGATCACTTGAACAACTGGACGGAGTGAGATGAGGTTAAATATAAAGAAGTGTAAGATTATACTTTTAGGTAAGAATAGCATATAGTATATAGGTAGAGAAGTTTGTTGTCTAGAAAGCACTTAAGATACAGTATCATCTACATAACAGAGTTTTGGGTATATGTGCTGACACTGAATTTCAGAGTAACACTGACTGACTCGACTTCACCCTTTCCCATGGATATGAGGGTGACTTTGGAGGGTGTTGTTCAAACCTGCCAAATTATTGTTAATTTTAACTATAGTTTGTGGTGTAATGCAAAATAAACCAAGTGTAATTCATGTTTGATCAGCCCACACACTGCTTTGCTAGAGAAATAAAATATTCCACGCAGGTGAACAGTAAAGAACAAGTTGTTTAGTCTTTGTAAATCCAGAACAACATATATACAATGTAATCACTTGCACTAACTCACATAATGTCCTTTTATGAGAGATTTAAAATGGTCTTTCTTTTGTCCATGTGGATAAACTCCTTCAGCAGCTCATGAAGCGAGCGCACACTCAAAACTCTGTCTCTCTCTGCTTCTCTCTGTTTCTCCCTCTGCACTTGCTAGCTCAAGCCTGAACAAAAATGTAAAAGTATCCAAAAGCCCCAGGCTCAACCATCTCCCCGAGCATTGCCTGACCAATCAGCTTCATGCATCTTATTTTACAGTTGATACACTCACTGATTCCTTGCATGCTCCAACATGGTTGTTTGGAACAGCTCAGATTCAAACTATACCTTGTGATGCTGTATATTTGTAACAAATCATAGTCATGATTAACCAATGATATAGGGAGGAGCTTTCGTAACATTTCATATTGGTGGCACACTTTTTAGACATGCATCATTTTGCGACGCAGTAATTCAGTTTTATTAGCAAACTGGAAGTTAAACCAACCCCTTATAAGAGAGATGGACAAATACATACATTGTAATAGCAAAATGTGTGAGGACACAAAATATCTCATGAAAACTGTTTACATTTTTTAAAAAATATATGATTTATTGCTTATTTCACATAGACTCAGAGGTTTCTCGTTACATTCCTGCAATACACCTACACACTGCAGCTGACACTTTAACATGTCATGGCATACAGTTTGGAAAGCTCTGATACAGGTTTTTGATGGCATACTAAAGCTGTGGTTAGTCTATAGAGAAGGCAGAAACTTAAGAATTTTTAAACTAATGTCATAATTACCAATCTAACAGAACCCAAATGATGCTAAAATTGTGTGTAATCTTGTGTAGTTATAGTATATTGTGCGTTAAAGTTTTACTAATGATATTCCTCATTCTCCAGACTTTTTAAATTTTTCTTTTGTAGCCATCCTGTGTGTTTGGTGAAGTGATAGACATTTTTGTGGGTGGGTAGCTGGAGAGGCAGACAACAAGATTCAACTGTTTCATAAAATACCATATTCCTTGTAAATCTGTTCCTAATTTAATTTTGAAACTAATATTTGCCCCTTTTCAAATCACGGAGTAATTTCCCTTGCTATAATTTTATGCTTCCCCTGAAATCAACTTCTTTCCTTTCTAAAGCAGCTGTGCCTATAAACTATTTTTGATCATTCAAATTAGTGTTTTGGCTCAGAATGTAGAACAAGGGGCACAAATCCACATTTCCATAGTTCTGAATGAGGTTTCTTTAAGCAAATGCAATGTTCAGGGTTTTTTTGTGTTTTACTTATGTTCCCGTCTTTCACCTTTCTAAAGAGTTTGGGGCCAGCTTAAATCTAAAGGTGACTTAAAGACACACAAAAAGTTTAGACTTTTTCAGAATCACAAGACAGACCATAAATAAGCTCTTTGTGAAATAATTAAAATATTTCATAGTACTATGTATGATGTTGTTGTTATGCTTGCATATTGCTCATAGATTGTTTTCACTTTCTATTTTGTTTTCTTCTCTACATTTTGGTAATATGTAGAATATTACTAAACACAATATTCATTATCTATATAAATAAAAATGTAATGTTTATCTGTGGGATTAACAGAACTCAAAAACCACTGGGGGAATTGACACCGGTACAGCTAGTCTATATAAATAAAAATGTAATATCCGTTTGTGAGATTAACAGAACTCAAAAACTACTGGACAAATTGACACCAAATTTGGACACAAGACACCTAACAACCCAATGTATGTCCTTCACTTAAAAAAATTGATTTTGGGAGTTGTAGTTGCTGGGATTTATAGTTCACCTACAATCAAAGAGCATTCTGAATTCCACCAACGATTGAATTGAACCAAACTTGGCACACAGGACTCCCATGACCAACAAAAAAACACTAGAAGGGTTTGGTGGGCATTGACCTTAGTTTGGGAGTTGTAGTTCACCTACATCCAGAGAGCACTGTGGACTCAAACAATGATGAATCTGGACCAAACTTGGCATGAATATTCCATATGCCCAGATAGAAACACAGATGGAGTTTGGGGAAAATAGACCTTGACATTTGGGAGTTGTATTTACTGGGATTTATAGTTCACCTACAATCAAAGAGCATTCTGAACCCCACGAATGACAGAATTGGGGCAAACTTTCCACATAGAACCCCCATGACCAACAGAAAATACTTAAGGTCATCCAGTCCAACTCCCTTCACCAGGGCAAGAAAACGTAATCAAAGCTCTCCTGACAGAGCCATTCAGCCACAGATATAGATACATAGATACGATTCACACACACATATATGTATATGACAGATACAGTATCATAGATTTAAAAAGGACCCCTAAAGAAGGACAATTATATGTTGCGTGTTACAGAGTAGGCAAACCACACAATCTCTCCATCAACACTGACAAAGAAACAGCAAGAAATACTGTTTATCCACAAGCATCAAGAAATTACATATATTAGAAATCAACACTTTCTCGTTGCTTTATTTTCCAGATCAACAGACTGGGCCACAGCAACGCGTGGCAGGGGATAGCTAGTACATAATAAACATATACATTTTATTGTTAACCTTGATGTTCCTTCCTACAGACTTAAGTAACTGTTGGAAACGTAGTGTATACATGGAAATAGTACTTGGGTTTTTTGTTACATTGTTTGTGTATGTCAGATGATTAATGTATAGACTTGCTTCTCATTGCTTTGACAAACTCATGAAAAATATTGCCACATTTTGTTACCATGATAACAAGCTTACATAGGAATCTGAATAAGTTTGATACTGCAACTTTATTGATGTTGCTTTCACAGGCTAGTCTTCTCACAACTTAAAAAGTTACAAGATTTCTCTATCTGTTTAGGAAGAAAATCTGGAAAACAATTTGCAAACATTAGCTACTGATGTAGCTCCACTGTATCAGAAACTTGCCCCTGATGCTTTCCAGAATCAGGTAAGTCCAAGGGGGAAATCTTGATTTAAATATACACCAGTCCTATATGATACTTTATTGGAAGAAAGAGAAAATCACCCTTAGTTTTAACATGGCAGCTGATACAAATTCTTATGCATCAGTAGTTGAAGAAGGCTTTCTGCTACCTGCACAGACATATTGAAAAGGGCAGCAGTACTGCACAGACTCAACTGAGAATAAATCCTGCTGAATATAGTGAGGCTTGCTTCTGTATTGCATGCAAAGTATTGGCTTCTTAAGAGCATTTGAGCTCTCAAATCCCTGTTCTTTTATGTTCCTTATTTGCTAACCTTTAGTTGCCCATGAAAAATTTGTGTAGCATATACATCTGAAATGTAATCTTCATCCCACTGTATGCCAAAAGTTTTTTAACTCCACAATCCTTCTAAAACATAGTTTCAATTAGATGTTAAGATATAAATTCTGTTGTTTTTTTGGGTTTTTTTTGCTTTAACAATGATTAGCAAACAGTTCTAACAACAATGCATGGATATGCAAGACAGCATTTTTCCTATATAGATCGTTTCTTCAAATGAAAGCTGGTCGAATCTGAAATGGTCCAGTTTTCACTCTAAATAAGATCTAATGGTCTTGATTTTAGGTGGAAAATGAACACTTTGGGCCTGACTGTCGACTTGGGGTCAAGAATGGACGGCCTTTTTCTGGTGTTACTGCTTGCATTGACTTCTGTGCTCACGCCCATAAGGACACACACAACATGCACAACGGAAGCACTGTGGTATGTCTTGTTTGGGGGAGTCTTATTTCTTACTTGTGACTTTTAATTTGTAATTGTAGCTTGCGTATTGCTCATGGATTATTTTCACTTTATTTTTTGTTTTCTTCTCTACATTTTTGTGGTATTGAATTTGTAGTATTTCATACACAAGCTACATTTTTTATATTTCACCACATAATGATCGCATTTAATCCCCCCCCCCCCAAAAGAGAAGTGTGACCATAAGGCAAAGAAAACAAACAAACCATTAAGGTCTGAGGCTTTTCTTTTTTTAAAAAAACTGTCTTACCTTTGAGAGAAGGCTGGATGTGGAGCTCTCCTTCCTTGGAGGCCAGACACGTTGTGTGTGTGGTTTTTTAAAAAAAATAAAAAAAATATAAATCAGAGGTCTTCTCCCTCCTCAGAAGTAAGAGAGGAAAAGCCTCAGATCCAGTCAGCTCCGGTTTATATTGCTTTTTAAAAACTGTCTTACCTCCAAGGAGGGAGATCACCAGACCCAGCCAACTGTATTGTGACAATAAGGGAGGAAAGACAAGAAACCAAGGGGTGTGACTGTTATGTGGTGGCGATTATTACATGGAAAGATATGGTAATGCAGATAACCATGCAATAAATAAACTAAGAATGCAATACATATTTGTTTTCTTGGTTTGTTTGTCCCTAAATTGGGTTGTAGTTCTTGGAACTTTGCAGTTCCAAGAAGAATTGTGTTATGTCTGAAGTCAGAGCAGTGAAGAGATAATTCATAATGATGTAGTTAGTGCTCATTAATTTCATTAGGTAGATAGTTGTGAAGGCTCCATAATTAAAAATGCAAGTGCATGCATGCTATCTGCTCTCATACTTATATATCTTGTCTTCAAAAATATCATTTCTGCTAGGAAGTACTCTTAAGTAGATTTACAGGTTTTGGTGGTCAAAGTAATTTTGCAAGTGTTTTTATATCTTAAATGATTTTATATCTTAAATGTTAATTAATATTTGTCAGCAGGGAAATGTATATTTTCTTTTCCTTTGTAGTGGTGTTAAAAGCAGAAATGCACTAATAATAACATAAATGTTTTCTGAAATTTAAGACACACAATGCAGTAAGACTTGTTTCATATTTTGTGCTACACTGTCCCCACTTGACACCCCATTGTCCCTCTGGATTTAAATCATGCACAATCTCAATTTATTTATTTATTTAAAACATTTATACTCCGCCCTTCTCACCCCAAAGGGGACTCAGGACAGAGCACAGCATATACACGGCAAACATTCAATGCCGGGACACAAATTCACATACAATACGTAAACATTAAAAAACATTTATCAAAATATTAAAATACACCATTTAAAGCCATCCTAGTCATCCATGTCAAATCTGATTAGAACCAGACATGGAAAATGTACTTTGGCTAAATACCCTAAAGGCGGAGATCCTGTCTGATCTTGGAAGCCAAACATTGTTAGTGCTTGGATGGGAGATCATCAAAAATAACGTGTATCAAACTACATTTCAGAAAAGGGAAAGGCAACACTGAGTATTCCTTTCCTATAAAATTCATAGGGTTACCATAAGTTGACAGGTAGCTTGAAGCCAAATGCACATACATGAAAGGAATGGAAATCTTAGCCATTATGAAACCATAGTTCAGGCAGTTGGAAATGAATTGGATAAACAATTTTCACTCCCATGCACATACATGTGTGTCCACCTGATAGCATATATACATGTATATATGAGATACTTACTTTACTAAGGTGTTACCTTGTTGTCCGAGTATGATGGCCTTCCAAGTGTAGTGTTTTAGCAGTGGGTACGTAGGTGAGCCCTATTCTTGACCCACATGTTCTTCCACGGTGAGGACATCGGTTTCCAGGTGGAAGGTGGACTAAGTCAGGGTTGGCTTGACACGCCTTTCTCTTGGCATGTTTCTCCCACTCGCCCTCCATTGGTACCTCTTCAAATTCCACAGTACTGCTGGTCACAGCTGACCTCCACTCAGGGTGCTCAAGGGCCAGGGATTTCTAGTTCTTGGTGTCTATGTCACAGTTTTTTACTTTGAGCTCATCTTTAAATCTCTTTTCCTGCCCACCAACATTCTGTTTTCCATTCTTGAGTTGGGAGATACAAATGAGGGGGTAATAGAGGACACATATGCCTCAATAAGATAACATTCTCATTTCTTATTAAAACATAAACGAGCACATGTTCTTTACCTAAGTTGCACAGAATTTGTGTATTTTTTCTCTTTTTTGGGCTAGGTTTGTACTTTAACAAAAGAAGATAATCGCACGATAGGGGTGATACCAAATGATGAACAGCTGCATGTGTTACCTCTTTACAAAATTTCACAAACAGATGAATTTGGCACAGAGGAGGGCCTAGAAGCCAAGATAAAAGCTGGGGCAATACAAGTACTTACTGCTTTTCCACGAGAAGTAAGAATGTTAGCTGAGCCACGCAGGGCAACAAAGAAGAAGAAATCTGACAACAGGAAGCAAACTGCAGCAGAAAAAAAGCATTCTACTTCCGTAAAGGGGAAAAATGGAATATCTGGAAATAACAATAAAGCTTCACAGAAGTTAGGTAGGTAAAATACACGTTTTGAAAGTTCCTTGATGCTGACAAAAATCTGCTAACGTAAGGATAAACTCAATTCTAAAAATGTGAAAGCAATTAAGTTCCTGTAGGCACAGACTGCAGTGTAATTGATACGTTAAGTATGATGATGGAACAAAGGTTAATTTTAAGAGTTGTCAGAAATTCAAGAGTACATTCATCATATATATGAGTTGCTGCACATATGCACTTGACCATGTTTACTGTGTCAGATTTCATCATAAAATGCTGTATTAAGAGGGTAAACGTCACATAGTTTCCCCAGAATATCCACATTATATACTAGTGTCTTATAGTTTGCATAGAAGTCAGCCAGCTCTTAAGTGATAATTTAACATTATAAATTGCATTCACATTTTCAAGTAGTGACTCCCTTCCTGCTAACTTAAAACCTTAGAGGCATTTTGTATTCCTCATTTTTCATGTTCTTCTGACATGAAAACAATAATTGTGATTTATCTTTTTGATTGGTAGAAGCCTCCTAACTTGCATGCTTTTTAAAAAACTCTGACTCCTAAAGCTCTTGTTCAGTTTGATTGCCTGCCCATATCTCCTTCATGACACCCCTCTTGTATCAGTTGTCTCCAATTAAGTCTCTGCTTAGCACGCGTTTCTCTGCCATTTTTGCTCATTTATAATAATAGGAAAATATGACCTCTTTTATATCTCCACCTTTGACTGTGGTCAGCTTCATTGACAAGGAGCCCCCGGTGGCACAGTGGGTTAAATCCTTGTGCCAGCTGTATTGAAGATCGACAGGTCAGAGGTTCGAATCCGGGGAGAGTGTGGATGAGCTCCCTCTGTCAGCTCCAGCTCCCCTTTCGGAAACATGAGAGAAGCCTCCCACAAGGATAGCAAAACATCAAAACATCCGGGCATCCCCTGGGCAACATCCTTGCAGATGGCCAATTCTCTCACACTAGAAGCGACTTGCAGTTTCTCAAGTTGCTCCTGACACGGGGGAAAAAAGCTACATTGACAATAATGTTGAGGAAAAAAATATTGTACAGAAAGATATGTATTCATGGCTCGGATTATAGTAATTATTCCTCCTCTTACTTGACAACTATTCTCATCTTTCTAGCTTCATCTTAACCTCTGTCTCTTTCCACTTGTTATGCTCCTATTTATCTCCACTCCACTAACAACAAGGTTTGCCCAAAGTTTACGTCATCTGAACAGAGGCAATAACACCTGTGTGTTTTCTGTGTAACATACATCTTCTGTATTCTCATCTCAACTATTTTTATTACCTATTTGAGACTTAAAAGTCAAGCAAGTGTTACTGTATTTTGTATATGCTTGGATTTACGACTTTTATGTTTATCATTTATTTTCAAGAAATATGGAGAATTGCCTAAGCCAGATAAAATCCTTTGGTTGCTTACATTTAACACTTGTATGCAACCTATAAGACCTTGTTAGAATGTTGTGAATTCTTTATAATTTTGATAGCTAGAGGAATAACTTTTCAAAAATGGGATAGCAATTTAGAAATAATAAACCAACACTAAAGAGAAATTCAAATTACTCTGTGATGCATATTTTGTTAAAACATTTATAGAAATATGAACAAATAAACTTGAAACATTTTAATGTTTTCCCCTTCTTAGGTAGCAAAGCTAGCACATTGCAAGCTGGGACAAAAATGGAGACTGGTGATCATCTTTCTGCCATAAAACATAATTCAGACACTACTAAAAATTGCTCTGTATCAAAGCAATATCCTTCTTCCTCCCCTTTAAAGCTGGATAGTTTACACTCTTGCTCTCCATTAACTCACACAGCGGGTGGTATAATGTCAGTGACTAACGGTCAACAAAATGTTTCGACTCCCTACGGGTATTTGCAATGCAGCAGTAACAAACCTCAGTTGACACCCAAAGGCAAGAGTTTTGATGTGTCCAATAGTGAACATTCTGGAATTTCATTGGACGAAAAGAACAATGGCCTGCCTCCAGGTCTTCAAGATCTGACTGTTACAAAGACCACAGCCAACAGAGAGAGTCTGCAGCACACACTTGAACAAAAAGCAGCCAACAAGTCAAATCGTGAAATTAAAGAAAATTCTCCGGTCTCACAGTTGGTTAATTCTTGTGAGTCATTATTGCTATCAAATGCTTCAGAAAATGTAGTCCGAAATGAAATTAATTGTTCCCAGGAGCATCCAGTGCAGCAAGATGGTTTCATCCAAACTCCAAATTGTGCTTCTGCTGTTGTGGATTCACAATCAAATATTGAGCTGCTAAAGCACACAGATTCTGAAGAAAAAGCAGAGGAAATGTGGTCCGACAGTGAACATAACTTTTTGGATAACGACATTGGTGGCGTAGCTGTTGCACCATCACACGGCTCCATCCTCATTGAATGTGCGCGCCGCGAACTACATGCTACGACTCCAATTAAAAAGCCAAACAGGAACCATCCCACACGAATCTCTTTAGTCTTCTACCAACACAAAAACCTGAATGAGCCAAAACATGGAATCGCATTGTGGGAGGCAAAAATGGCTGAGAAGGCAAAAGAAAAAGCCGCTGAAAAACTAGGCATTGAAAATGCCAACCTCCAAGGCAATGACAGGAGTGGACAGCAGCCCAATGCCTCCAGAGAAGTTTTCTGTGAAGAAAGTGAATTCAACCAAATCCCATCCCGCCGAGCATTAACAGTAACTCATGATAAAGTCATCACGGTGTCTACTTATGCCCTCACACGGGTCGCAGGGCCCTATCACCAATGGGCATAGGTTTTTATAGCAACTGTGCAACTTTTGCATTGGAGCAGTGTTGCACAATGATTCCTAAAGGTGCTGTTCAAGAACAAAGTCTTCTATGGTTTACTGTTTGTTCATCTCAACCATTTTGAAGGCTGAGGTTTAAAAATGTTTTTTTTTTCTTAAACTGTGACTTTGTATATTTTAACATCTGGTGATTCTCAAGCACATTTTAAGCAAAAAAAAAAAAGATATATTGTATAATTACAGGATTTTGGCTAGGTTATTAACCCTAATTGAACTATTCAGTTTATTACCTTTTTGGAATTTATATTTTGGTGCTCTGAATCGTCTGTTTACTACAAATGGGCTTTTTATAACAGATTTTACCAGATTTCATCTTTTATGAAGTAAAATCAAGTTAGACAGTATTAGCTATACACGGTTCTTGGTGCTTAATCACATTAATCAGTTAAAAATAAGCTGGTTTTATTTCTTCATGGTGCCATTGCTCTAAAAGCTTCCAGACATTGCTGTGAAGCCCAATTTAAGGTTAAAGAAACCAATGATAATTTTATCTATGTATAGATTTTTCATATATGTATGGTTTGTGTGTGAATGTGTGATAGAGAACCGCACAGATTCACATACAAACAATATCACTAGTGGTGGTTGGAGGTTGTAAGCTGTAAATAGATATATTTAAAAGCACTTTCTATTTTTAAAGTTAACTTGAAATAGTATAAGGATTACATTTGCCTAAGGTTTGTGCATTCTCTACCAAGGAATTTATTTTTTTCTTACTGTGTAGAGTTCCATATTGCTACAACAATAGTGCATATATATATATATATATATATATTAAAAATAAATAGTTGATTTTTACGCTCCCTTCCCTTTCCCCAACAGATTCTTTGGTTTGTTTTTAAACAAAAGGTTAATAAATGCAGACAATTCAATATTTACAAATATAAATTAAGAAGCATTTTGTCCATACCTGTACTGCTATGATATTTTGTTGTAAGAAAGTATTTTCTATAGGGTTTTTTTTTTAGCAATAAGGACATCAATCTCTTTCTCTGTCTCTCTAAGCGGAGTATTGCAAGTTACATATGACAACCAAATGTTCCTAGAGCCTCAGGGGTAGAACTGTTATGGCATCTGAAACTGCTTGCCTCTAGAGATGCCTTATTAATATTCTGAGTTTGAAGAGAGAGAGAGAGACTTGCAGTATCAGCTGTTTTTGTGGTCTATCTGAGTTCATTAAAATTTCCAGAGTTTTCATCAACTGTTGTCAATTAAGAAGGATTTATTAACATGCAGCCCAATCCTATCCGTGTCTACTTAAAACTGTCCCACTGTGTTCACAGAGGCATGTTCCCAAGTAAGTGAGTATAGGATTGCAGCCTTAGCCTAAAATTTTCCCATTCCACATTAAAAGAGAGACAGTAGCATCTAAATGGCTTACTAAGGCGTTAGTTCTGATGAAATGTATGTAAAAAATAAGAGGTATCAATAGGCAGAAGTTCACATTGTGTTACGTCTCTAAATGTGGTTCAGCTGCATCATAACTTGTGAATTTTGTGAGGCACAGTTGCATGATACACATATTCCTCTTAGCATGGTCTTCTCCCTCACTATTTTCCCAAGAATTACAGTTGTAACTTTTTAGAAGAAACTAGTTTAATCAAACTGGGAAACAGTGGGCACGTTGTTCTTCAAACTAATTTCCAATGTGTAGTTTGTATCTGAGTGTGCTAGCTTCTTCCTAGAGCAAGTAGTTCTCAGCCTATGAGTCCCCAGGTGTTTTGGCCTACAACTTCCAGAAGTCCCAGCCCATTTACCAGCTGTTAGGATTTCTGGGAGTTGAAGGTCAAAACATCTGGGGACCCACAGGTTGAGAACCTTTGTCCTAGAAATTCGGATATTTCCCTTTTTTGATTGGAACTATCAGAAATCTCTATGCCAGCATGACCATTGAGTGCCACTGGGAAACTGGTGGAGCTGTCTTTCAAAAAGAAAAAAAATCCAAACTCTATATAGGTTGCTTGGGCTTTTGATAAAATTCTTTGAAGGAGAAAAACTGAACAGACATACATCATAGCAAACAGGAGTGGCTCTAAGATGTTTTGCTGTCTGTGGAGTGAAGGATGAAGTTAGTACCCACCCTGTCAACCAGACAGATACATTGTACTTTAGTACTTGTGGTAGGACAAGATGCTCCACCTGACCTGTGGATAGCAGATTGGATTAGAAGACATAGGGCAAGATGGGTGGCACACAGAGGGATGCCCTCTCACTTCACTACAACTTCCTACTTTATATCTGAAATTCAATGCAGTAGTACATGTACGATGTCTCTCTCTGTTGCTGTTGTGTGAAGAGAAGTAAAGGCAGGGAAATATTTTAGATTTTGAGGTGGCTACTGACAGGTCTCAGATGGAACCCAGATTCCCAGATGGCAGCATTAGGTTTTTAGTTGATTCGATGCTTTCAGTCTTAGCTAGCCTGATAATGTGGATGCCACATGGAGATACTAACAGATTTCAGTACTTGAGTGCCATGGCTCAGTAAATGGCCTAGGAGCAACTGTGCCCCATTTTGCTTAAGTTAAAGGGATGGAACTGATTAAACCTGAGTTAAGAGGGCAGTTGGGATAGTGTGGGAGAAAAATCTGCCTCACCAACCCCCTCCCAAAAAAACCAACAAAAAACGGTATCTGTAATTTCAGATACTACATTAACCAATGTTCCTTGATGGGATAGTGGCATTCAGAACATCAGGAGAAGATAAACTGGCTCTTTCAGAAGTACTGTAGTGTTCCCACTTCTTTTCTCCTTCTTTTTGTACAGTTTGGTTATTTAAACAAACCAAACATAACAACAGTACTAACATTTGATAATAATTGTGCATTTCAGTTAATATGCAGATGGGGGAATTCATGGCTGTTGAACAGTTCAGCTTCAATCACTGAGCTCCAAATTTCTATTGTTTATGTGACTAATAGTTGTCATCCATAGGGTAAAATCTCTCTGTGGTAAATTCCATGGGTGTAAAGAGAGACAGAAGCTTTACCAATAACATACTTGATAATATATTGTAGTGGTGCTGTAATGAATACTGTCTAGATCTTCTCTTTTGCGAAACCTAGACATGGTGCTTTTATTTTTCTTTCTTTTTTAAAAATGTATCTAACACAGTTGTGTGTTCAACCTGAAAATACTTTGGTTGAAGAGGAAGTAGAAATATGTGAATTCTTTTGTGTACCTAGAAGGGTCAATTCATTCTTGTTCTGTAGAAATGCCAATGGTGAACTGGTGTGACTCCAGCTTCCTGGTCCCCAATCCAGGACCTTGGGGAAACTCCACAAGAGATTGCATTCCTGTACACAGAGCTCCTCATGCTCTATAATGACTAAACACAATTGTGCCCTCAACCTGTACAGATAATGTGTTGGGCAAAGCAAAGACAGAAGGGTATCTGAATTAGAGCTTTGAAAAGTTGTTTGACAGTTCCCAGAATTCCCCAGCCAGCATGACTAGTGGACATATTGGTGTGTGCAGCCAAAATTCCAGAAGTCATCATCCCAAAACCAACTTTTCCAAGTGTTGCCATGGGATAAGGTGATAATCTAATTTCACTTCACTTCTGACAAGAGTTTACACCAATTTCTTGAGATGGAAAGAACTTGATTTTTTATTTAAAAAAATAATTTGGATGAACCAAAATGGAAAGATTTGCTTATTTACAGCCAAGACTTTAAGACCACAGGATCTTAAAAGTCTACATTTGAATCTATGTGTATTCATTTCTGTTTGAACTAAGTTACGATTGTCAACTCTTTTTTTTCAAGCTCATTTTTGATTCCTATGTGGGAGACAGGTACAATATTGTCCTCGCCTTACTGGGAATAGCTCTATCTTTTTAATTTTGGCTGGTGCAAATGGTGGATGAGTTCATTGCATTTGGGTTTTAATTTTTTTTAATCTGAAATCCACACTTTTATTAGAAGTTTTAGTGGGAAGAACCTGATATTTAAACAATTGAATGCAGGAGAAAGTAAAAGTGTCAAATTCTTCCATCTCTAGTCTGAACAGTCATTCTCTGGCATCTGCTTCTCCTTCCATGTTCTAACAAGTGACGGTGCTATTAGAGGTAATGGATACTGTGTATTTTAGGAACTAATTTACATATGAAGTCTGGAGCTAGATTCAGGATCCCCTCTCCAACCCATGAAAGAGAGCCCCTTGCACTCCCAACTCGGATACCTGTACAACGCTTGTTTGCAAAGAGGTCTCAGAGACTCTTGCCTTTCTCAGAATATGTTGATCTATTTTTAAATACCACTGAAATCAGTGGTATGTAAGCATAAAAATCTAATTCATTTCTATGAGCAGTAAGCCTGCTTGTTCTTACTTGTGGCTCTGAGTTGTGATCCTACAGACTCTTTGAATTTGATGGGAGTTACAAAACTCATCTGGTATGATTGAATTTAAAAATACATCCCGATACCTGTCAGCCAGTCTCAAAGCAGTGCTATTGAGATAGTTACTACAATCTTTTTAAAACAGCTGACTGAATCAAGCAGACTCCCAACATCCCAATAAAATATATAAGGAGAGAAAGATGTTAACATGTTCTATTTTTAAATCAAACTTTATTTTAAAAAAAACCCTAGCCACATGCTGCATTTTTCTTAGTTCAAATATATTGATTAGCTGAAATGGAGTAATATGGAGATTGTAAATAATCTAGAAGTCAATATTATACCATCATTTTGTACCAGCGGCTTTCTTCTTTCTGAGTATCTATATAGAGTAAATGGTTATGATATTTTTGTGTGCCTTAGATTTCCATTGTAAAATTTGTATATTTTGGTGAGCCGGAAAGTTGTTAAAAGTAACTGCTGCCTATACAGTAAGTAGGACTGCACATTTCTTCCATTCCTCATTATGTGGAGAGATGTTTTGTAGTTGCCAATTCCAGTGTTCTGTGGAAGGATTACTTTTCAGAAAAGATCACCAGCTATTTTTGCAGAGAAATAATCACATTTGCATCATTTTATTTCGTGCAGGATTGGATTTCCCCCATCAACAGTTTTTTTTGTTGTTCATTCGTTCAGTCATTTCCAACTCTTCGTGACCTCATGGACCAGCTCACGCCAGAGCTCCCTGTTGGTCGTCACCACCCCCAGCTCCTTCAAGGTCAATCCAGTCACTTCAAGGACTTCCATCCATCTTGCCCTTAGTCGGCCCCTCTTCCTTTTTCCTTCCATTTTCCCCAGCATTATTGTCTTCTCTAAGCTTTCCTTTCTTCTCATGATGTGGCCAAAGTACTTCATCTTGGCCTTTATATTATATTATATACTGCCTGTATAATAGGAGTATTGTTGTTCCATTGTGAATTTCAGTTGTAACTCTGTCCATATTTCCCTGTGCATAACTCTTAATAGAAATCATTAGAGCTCAATTTTGAGTTGTCATGTGCAGGTTTCCACTGTTAACATGTTTGTGAAGCACAATTTTTGTTATGAAAACAGCAGTTGTGAATTACATTATTTTGTCCTTTTCTACAGATACTGAACATCATGGGGTTTTTTTTGTGAATCTAAAATCTTGAAATTAATTAAGCATCATCGAAAACCTAAGGACCAAGAGAGGCATATCTAATTATAGAGGGTTATATTCAATTGATAGTCATTAAAAGAGTAAGCCCACTGAAGCAGTGAAATGTACATACCTGTTGACTTACCATTCTACATTTGATTCAGCAACTCTAATTGGAATTACCAACTAGATTTGGGGCAGCTGTTTTCTGTGTACTACAGTATTTACACAGAAGTACTTATATTTTTTTTATTTGCAAAAGAAAGCCAGTTTTAAAATGACAATGCCAAATGAAAGACATATTGGCAGCCTGATCTACCCATTAATTTCATCAATGTGTTTCCGCATAACAAGTTTTGACATGTTTTCTTGACCTATGTGCTTCCGTGGCCATTCCTTGCTTTCTATTTCAATTCATTTTTTTTAAAGTCTAAAAAAAGTGGGTTTCACATTTTTATTCTTTTTAGTGTTTAACTTCTCCGGTCTCTAACCTGTCAATTAGATAGGGAACACCTACAATTCTGTTCCAGTTTCTCTTGTATGATTGAACTACTTTAGAATAAATGTCTAAAAGCAATGTTAATGCTGTTCGGGAACAAATACTGCCTAACACGCCTACATGAATACTGAGAATTGACAGCTACTTACTGTATATGCAGTTGTGTACTATTTATTGTACTGTTTCAGAAGCTGTATAATTTTTACATAGAAAGCAGTGTAATTTTGTGAATGATCCTATAGCTGCAAAGGCTAGTAATACTATTGTCATCTTGTAATAATGACTCTTTGGGGTTGTGACAAGCAGCAAAGTCTTCTAACTGCTGCAGCAACACAGATTCCTTTCAAAACAATTTGGTCTAAAAGTGTCTTGTTGCTTTCAGTGGTGTCTTCCCAGGCTGTCTGGTTCAGGAGTTAAGAGAGTAAGAAATTATAGGAATGCATATAACCTAAGGTAAATCATCAATCCCAGCTACAATAGATCCACTGAATTAATGGGATTTGGATAAGTGTTGATTTGCAATTCCAATGGATCTACTCTAGCTGGACCTGGGAGTTGGGTTTAGGACTACATACATATTTTACTGTGTTTATTTTTCCCCATCTGCCATAAGAAATACCCGTTGATGAGATTATCAGATGCCTTCAGCTCTGCTTCTGGCATATAATTCATTTTAGTCTTCCAGGAGAGGCATCTTGTTCTGTTAGGTTCTTAGCTCAACTGACACATTTCTGTGAAATGTAGGTGGACTGTAGGTAGTTTGGTTTAATTTAAAGAAGTGCTTGTGAAGTTTCTGTGTTGTAGCCTTCACTAGTTCAGACTGCATAGCTGTGCTTTAGTTTGCTTTTCAAAGCGCCACAGTTTTATATTGCCGCAATTCACTATTAACTTCACTTTGACATCTGTGGCATCCTACAGAAATATACTTTCTAGGCCCAAGTTTCTTAAAATGACCAAATTCACCTGAATGTTATGGAGAGTGACAAATGTTCTTGGAATATTGAAAGTCAGCCTTAAGAGATTTGTTTCATTTTCTAACCTCTTGGGCCAGGAACAGCTCAGAGGGTCTTCAGTATGGTTTAATATCCTGAAGAAGCATTACAAAGGTACAAATAAAGATTTAGACCATTCTTAGCAGTTTTAACTATGTTGGTATGTGATATGTCCTCATTGAATTAGTTTGATCTCCATGACCCCAGTTAGGAAAAAATAATTGTGCTTAAATTTCATGGAAATTAATGGATCTTGCATTAACCATCTTCATGATTTCATTGGGACTTAAGCGTAATTAGTCAAAATTTCAATACAGGTTGAATATCCCTTATTTGAAATTATTAGGACCATATTTTGTAAAAATAATTTTTGAAATAATTATCTAAACACGAAATTAATATATGTTTCCTATATACTTTATTATGCATATACTTGAAGTATTTGCATAATTTTATACAGAATTTTAATTTTAATTATTCTCTGCATGAGACAAGGTTTGCGTAATTTGAACCATCAGAAAACAAAGGGGTTACAATCTCATGTGGACACTATTTAAATTTTGGAATAATTTCAAATTCTGGAGAAGGG